TATCCCTCAGCTCTTCAGCTCAAGGCGAGCACTCTACCACTTGAGCTACAGCGCCACTTCCAGTTTTCTGGTGGTTTATTGGAGATAGGAGTCTCATGGTCTTTCCAGCCCGGGCTGGCTTTGAACCGCGATCCTCAGATCTCAGCCTCCTGAGTAGCTAGGATTACAGGCGTGAGCCACCGGCGCCCGGCTTGATGGAACTCTTATCCTTAGCAATAACTCTCCCTTGCATAGACTTCCAGCCTCCGAGGGCCACAGCACATTATGTTTTTGGAACATGCTGGAAGTAGGAGGGCAGTCCAGGGCCAGATGCTGGAATCCAGATGCAGGTAAAGAAGCAAGCAAGATGGGTTTACCCTGGCATTGGGTTTTGATTGTTTGCCAGTACTGTGGTTTAACTCAGGGTCTTGCACTTGCCTTAGCTGGCATTCTACCATTTGATCCATGCCCTTGGCCTATAAGTATGCTGGTTACTTGGAAGATGGATTCTCACAGACGTTTTGCCTTCGGCTAACACTGAACCTCGATCCTCCAGACCTCAGTCTCCTGAGTAGCTAGGATTATAGGTGTGAGCCACTGGCACCCAGTTTGGCATCAGTTTCAGCCATGTACCAGGAGGAATACAAACGGCTCTGAGCAGGCTGTGACTCTTTGGGGCTGAGAACCTCTCCATTAGCTGCCACAGAGCCTGGCTTTCCGTCTGGTCGCCTGGACAGAGTGGGGCCTTTCTGCTCTGAGTGGCAAAGCAGCAGATGCAGAGGCAAGCTGAGGACCCAGCTGCTGGGAAGCACATCATCACCTGGCTCCAATGGTTAGTCTGCTCTCAGAAAAGGCGGGCAAGGGGTACTCACGCGGGCTTTCATGAGAGCCAGGGCCCTCTCTGAGAACCCGATCAGCCTCATGCAGTGATGGATCCGGCCAGGCCCCAGCCTGCCCTGGGCGATCTCAAAGCCACGGCCAGGGCCCAGGACTATGTTCTCCTTGGGCACACGCACACGCTCAAATAGGACTTCACCATGGCCACCTGAAACACCAAACACACCACCATGAGCCGCAGTCCATCCTGGTTCCCTTCACTGTTTCTCTCTAGCCTCGGCCCAGGTGCTCAGTTGGCAACATTCCTGCCAGGGGCGGGGGCAGGGGAGCCGGAAGGAACCATTAAAGATGATGGATTCACTGATTTATGGTGACCCGTTTGCGCATTTGGCCACTTGTCCATGCAAACATAATGAAGGCAGCTGAGGCTGAAACTTCGTAGTTATGTGCTCGCCACTGTAATGACCCTGAGACACCACCTCTCACACTGTGGGGGGATCTGATGGGGGCTGCCACCTCCCTGTAGATTGCAGTGCATGCTGGAACCTGGCCAGGAGGGCAGCCCTGCCCTGCCCTGCCCTGCCCTGCCCTGCCCTGCCCTGCCCTGCCCTGCCCTGCTTCCTTATGTCAGACTCACAGACGCATGCTCCTCCTCTCACTTTCCAAGAGGCAATGCATGCAAATACCATGCAAATGCATCTGAAATCTGGTCCATGGCTGGCCTTCACTATGGAAATACAATGCAGAGCAACGTGGCACTCCCAATACCATCAGACCCGTACCTTAGGCAGGTCCTGAATTTGAGCAAGGGCCGCCAAAGCTGTTCCCAGCATCAGACCCACACTTGGGGTGACCGGCCCTGAGAGGTCTAACCTGGAGCATCATCGAGCCCATACACTGTCAGAGGCCGGATGACCTGTATCCCGGGGGTATCCATGGGAACCAAGATCACGGACTGCTGCTGGTGCCTAGGAGCCTGCGGGTCTGTTTTCCCCATAAACACACAGAGTTGGCAGCGAGGATCCAGGATGCCTGCCAGGAGAGGAGAAACAGGCCCCGTCAGCTGCCGCCAGGGCCATCAAGGCAAGACAAGCTCTGTAAGACGTCAGGGATGAGCGAGTGTGCAGAAACTGGACCACAGGTGAGCTCTCGGGATGGGAGCATGGCTCATATGGCAAGAGCACCAGGCAAAGCTCTGGTTCAGTCCCAGTACTGAGGGAAAACAAAACAAAACTGGGTTTGTCCCAGTGAGGCGTGAATCCAGCATAACAAGATTATAATCATCACAGATACTATTAGTTTTGCTCTCCGCACTTTGCTGCTCCCATAGTGTAAACAATGGCACTGGCATATGCCTGGGGCCGGGCGGAACTTGACCTCTGGGTTCCCACTGGCCACCCAGAAACTGGTCACTCTCAGAGTCCTAGTGTAGGTGATAATCTCTGCCTTCTTTTTTTTTTTTTGTCGGTCGTGGGGCTTGAACTCTGGGCCTGGGCGCTGTCCCTCAGCTCTTCAGCTCAAGGCGAGCGC